TTTCCAAACCTGGAAAGACACAACCAGATAGATAACAAGGGGTGAGTAGCTGAAAAGTGAAGGGCTAGTTGGAGTGACATTTTATGACAGGAGACACAGTCAAGCTGCTAAGAAATTGACCCTAATCCAAGCTACAGTGGCACTACATTATGAAAGAGATTCGCCAAACACCTTTGAGACGCGGAAAGAAATGTCATTCATTCACAATCACAAACCCAGAGTTCCCCCCTGCTTGCCATTGTCATGACCAGATACTGTATCGAAGGCATGATTTTCCAGTCTTTAAAATGACAAAAAATTATAGGGTTTCTTTTTTTTCATATCACATGAGATATCATCTAAATAAAAAGAACAACACGATTTTCGATGCCTCGTAACATGAGATAACTATCTCCTATTACATAAGAGAATGATTTTCCAAAATTATATAAGGAAAAGTGTGTGTCCTTAAATCAAAATTATATAAGAAAAAATGTGTGTCCTTTTAAAGGACACACACTTATATCATTTTAAGAGAGATAGATGAACAAACTATGGGAGAGAGAGTGGAAAAAAAAGTTTATAATTTAAAATTTAAAAAACACATTACATTTATCTAAAATGACCATCCTTTTAAATGATAAACACTAAACACAATTATATATTAAAATTAGGGATATGTTTTTCTATTATTGCTGAAGAAAAATATATCTCCTGTATAAATATAAAAAAATGTGTCAACTTCATTTAATTTTTTATTTTTTTCAAAGTTATGGGACTGCCAATATTTTTGTGTCTGCATCTTGTTGCAAGAAAATCAATTACCCCTTAAAACTATTTTCTAAATACTTATATGATAAAAGAATAATATAACTTAAAAGTAATCTTTTTAATACATTATAAATCTACAAAATAATTTTTAATATAAAAATGTTGCTGTCATAAAGGACCTGTTTGGTGTGACGTATAAGGCATGATAGTACAAGCTTATAACATACATTATGACATTTTCAGTTGTTTGGTGTGACCACCGTATAGTATAAGCTTATACAGCATAATCCCTTAATACATCAAAATGATGTATAACTTAATCCGGCCTAAGGGTGAGGGATAAGATCTGATAAGAGATTGATGTATTAACATCGTTGACCAATGTAATTCTCACAAATTAATATATTATTTTAATATTAATCTATTAAAATAGAAATTTATTTTTCAATATATTAATTTTTGAAATATTGAATATTTTTATTTTTATAAAAATTAATTTATATTTTGGACACACTGATCAATAAATTTTTATAAAAATTAATATCATATGACATTTTTTGAAGAATTATATAAATTATTTCTTAAAGGATATTTTTATTAAAAATATTTATTTTTATCATATATAGTATTATACCGTGCATTACCAAATACTAGATAATTTTATCTTATACAATATATTATTTTATACAATACCGTGTCAAACGCTTGATAGTATTAAAATTCAATTAGGTCTTATACAATCAGGCCTTATACTATCAGATCTTATACTGTCAAACCTTATCTTATAGTATGCACCAAACATCGTTCAGCTTACACATTTGCTGCACCTAACCTGTAACCCAGTACACAAGTTTTTCTTTCTTTTGTTATTCGAAATAAATACAGTTCTCATGCTCTCTTACATCGAATTCTATATTATATTTTTTTTGTTTTTGTAAAGGTAGATCCCACAATACTCGTCTTTACTGCATTAGAAGTCATTTATCGTGTTAAAGGAAAAGTGTATTTCCCTCATTATAATGATAATTTTGGCTCAGATTGATTTCAGTTTTCAAGAACAGTTTTTAAATTTTAAAAACAATAAAACAAAAAATCTTGTTTGAAAAACTGTTTTCATGCTATTTGTTTTAAAAATTGTATCTGTTTTTTGTTTTAGAAACCGAAAAAGCAAAACAATTCCATAATATTTTCCAAAGTTGTTTTCTCGTTTCTTGTTTTGTGCGGTGGCATTTCTGTAAATAAGGAGATTCATTAATGACATTTTTGTAATTAAATCAATTTTTTATTTTAAATTATTTTGCAGTAGCAATCTTGTAAATATGAGGATTCATTAATGACATTTTTGTAAATAACTACATCTTTTTTATAACTTTAAAACTAATCATATTCAAACAACTTTTATTGATTTGTTACCCTCAAAATCAGTTTTCAAACTTCATTTTCAAAACAATTTTTAAAACCAAAAAAGCAAAAACACCTTGAAACACACCCTTTATTTTCAGTCTTCAATTCAAAAGACCAAGTTGGTTTAGATTTTCAATATGTTAGAATTTTAAAATTAAATAACAAAGGATTTTCGATCGTCTCCCATGATAATATTCCTATAATTTTAATCCACCACATTGTTTCCACACCTCCTCATATCCATACTCATTCATTTATGTAGTTTTTTATTCTTATGCAAGAATAGGGTAACCGATTATACCAGTGAACTGAGTCATATGAATATTTTTTCACAAGTTTTTCTTTTGGATCAAGTGAGCTTTTATGGTCATGAACTTAGTCCATATGACTTGGGAAAGGATTTTGTGGTCTCAAAAAACCTTCTTGCATTATCGATTCCCTTAAATGTACCGAAATTGAGTTTTAGGCCATTTTGACGCACCAAAGTGTCATTTAGCTTCATTAATTCCCTAAACTTGATTCATTCGTACTGCTATACTTGGACTAGTTACATCAATTTGTGGGTCTTCATCACATTTCAGGTTAAAAGTGCCAATATTGATCTTTATAACCAATTCTCGTATATCAAAAGTTGCATACATTTTAACAATAATGCTAAAGCTTAAACAAATAAACATCAATGACATCGAAATAAACATCCATTTCATTAATAAAAGTTCATTACATAGAAGAATTCCACAAAATAAAGGAAAGATACATCAACATCTTAGAACAACATTACAAACATAAAAAAAAACCCTAAATCTACTCTAAGGCGGTCTCCTCCTGCTGCTCATCTGACACAGATGCCTTTTCCTCGTCATCACCGGTTTCTTGCTCATTCGGAGCATGTCCGAGTGCAACCTGCAGGTGACCAAACCTATCATCCAGGAGGTTAAATCAACCATACAAGCTCCTTCACCTCTCGTTCTGTTTCCTCACCATACGAGCCCACATTTGTTTTGTTTACGCTCCATACGATATATTCCCCCAATGGTGGCATTGATGTCATTCATGACATAACGAAAGGTGCATCCCCCCTCAAGCTCAACCATCTCCTACAGGTCAACACCATCAGCATGATCATCATCATCATCATCATCTGCCTCAGCCTCAAACGCAACCCACAGGAACTTCAACCTCGGGTTGTGTTTTCCACTGCCACACACCCCTTGTCTTTAAGATCTTGCACTGCTCCAGTAGATGTTATCCGAACTTGGCATTATAGCCTGTGAGTGTCATCATACGCTCCGTATCCATAGGAACTTCAAAATGCTCCAATATCCTCTGAACAAGGAAAACATATGGAAGTGCACCCTTATGCTTAGCTTATACATAAGCCAGCAAATGTAGTGCCTCCAATTCACTTGTATGTTGTGACGAATAGCCCACAAGAGAGAGAGAGGAAAGTCGCCCTCCAGCACCCTCCCATGATTGAAAGCTCGCAGGAACAATATATGGGTCATGATGTAGAACAATGGTCTCAACACTAGGCAGACTCACAATATAAATAACATGATGCCCACACGCGATACCACGCCTCTTGGTCTCCTCCACAATATCCCCCCGCACATATCCAGGAATGGAAGTATTGTTTTCCCCATCGTACTCCATTTCAGGATGAACATCGAAGTCATACCCTAACAACTTTGTCCATATCGAAGTTGTCATCACTATGTCATTTCCGCAAACGCAGAACCTCAACACACCCCATGAATAGCTGAGGCTATAGTAGAAGGCCCTCTCCATAACCTCTAAATAGGGACATTACATCTCGGCCAGCACTCTCAGATGTGGCCGCTCCAGCAATGCCACTATGTCAAATCCCTCAATAAAAAAGAATGTTGAATCCATTTGAGTTCGGGTCACAAATGGCTCTACTAACAAAATCAGACATAAATCATGCATGCTATGAGGGATCATCATCAAGCAAATACCCAAGTGGGAGGTCTATAGGGTTAGGCTCATGTGTCTTCCAAGAAAAGGGACCGTCGTGGTGGTGCTTGGTCCGTCTTTTGATTGCGAATCTCTTCGAAGATCGTCTTCTAGACATGATAACAACACAAACCTACAAAAACACATGAAAATTTATCAACAGCACAAAACACAAACATAATAAAAAAAATAAACTCAAAATTCAATCTTGAAAATCGACAAAAAAAAAATTACAAAACCTATGCAACCACAAACCCTAAACCATATAAATTAATCAAAACCTAAACTAAACAACCATAAAACCGAAGAATCAAAGCAAAACTTCATGCCAATCGTACCAAACTATTGAAGAATCGATCTAGGGTTCATAAATCCGAAAAAGAACAAGGAAAAAAATCAAGCAAACCGAAGAATACACAACAATAAAATGGAGAAATGAGCAAATGAAATTGTGTTGTAAGCCCACTACGCAATTTGAGGAAGATTTTGGACAAAAATTACGAATTTGACTTTTAGGATTTGTGGTAATGGATTACATTTTTAGTTATAACTTATATCCCCCGAGGTTTATAAAAACAACCGTGGCAAAAGTTAATCGATTACATCATTGTTGCAATCGATTAACTAAAAGGTCAACCGGTCAAACATGTCGCAAGTTAATTGATGAAATAGTTTTTCTAATTGATTACTTTAAAACCCAATACTTAATCGATTAAGTGGACAATACAATCGATTATATTATTCAGTCAACTGTGGAGAAATTGATGTAAAATTTAGGGTGGGGAAAAGTTGTAATTTTTAATTTAATCAAGGACAAAAAAGTCAATCACCCTATTTACTTATTTATAACAATTCATTGTTATAACCCTCGGTTGATTGGTTGTGTAATTTTAAACAGTCTTTCATTCTTTTTACAACGTACGAAGTTATTACAGCATTAACTCCTCAAGAGTCATTGGATTCAAGATTATATTTGTAGCATTTAAGACCATGTAACCGTAACTGCAACATAAACTTGCAAACCATAGTTTACGTCTCATCCACGCAGTTCAAAACTTCAAAAATTGTGGGGTACCAACAATATGTGAGTGGGTCAACAACAAAGAAATGGGCCGTATCTTCATTATTTAATAGTTGCTCTGGGAATGGATGATGTACATGGTCCACCAGACGTCATAAATGGTATTCCCTTGAATGTGGCCACACCCTTGTCATCAGTGAAAAGATTCTGCATGGACAAAATAACCATGAGCAACTGAACATCATAACTTCAAGTATAAACATCGTTGAGGGCATATTTGGTGCATAGTATAGGATAAGGTCTGATAGTATAATACCTGATAGTATAAGGCCTGATTGTATAAGACCTGATTGAGTTTTAATACTATCAAGCGTTTGACACGGTATTGTATAAAATAATATATTTGTATAAGATAATATCACCTAGTATTTGATAACGCACTGTATAATACTATATATGATAAAAATAAATATTTTTAATAAAAATATTCTTTAATAAAGAATTTATATAATTCTTCAAAAAAAGTCATGATATTAATTTTTATAAAAATTTATTGATCAGCGTGTCCAAAATATAAATTAATTTTTATAAAAATAAAAATATTCAATATTTTAAAAATTAATATATTGAAAAATAAATTTTTATTTTAATAGATTAATATTAAAATAATATATTAATTTTTGAGAATTACATTGGTACGATGTTAATACATCAATATCTATTTACAAAAAAAAAAAAATACATCAATATCTTATCAGGTCTTATCCCTAACCCTTAGGCCGGATTAAGTTATACATCGTTTTGATGTATTAAGGGATTATGCTGTATAAGCTTATACTATATGGTGGTCACACCAAACAACTGAAAATGTCATAACTTATAGTATAAACTTATACTATCATGTCTTATACGTCACACCAAACAGGCTCTAAGTTTAGAAACGCCAGACTAAGAAGTAAAAGAAAAATACCGGTGTAATCTTCTCCAGCTGCTTCTTTTTTGGGTTAAGTACATCTTCTGGCTTTCCATCAATCCTAAATTAGAAGAATGACAATGTATAGGTAAAATTAATGCCCTCAAGTAAATTATATCCGAAGCACAATAAGACAGTAAGTGCTACAAACTAAAATGTGGACGATAAAGTTTCTACTAAGGGCTATTCGGTTGTAATAATGAAAATGCATACGTTACAAATGGGACTTCCATATATCCTATGATTTTTATGTCAGATTGCCCGATGGCAAGGTGATCCTTACAATGAAACTCACTCATGCTTATTATTATAATTCAAGTTATGTCCAACAAATCGGTATTATTACAGCAAAATGGCCATCCCTAAACGGGTTTCTAAACATAATCTGTCTTCTCTTTCCTAACAATTCAATGTAATTTGCTTCAGTTCAAGCCAATGAGCAGTCAAAAAAGTGTATGTGTGTGTGTGTGTGTGTGTGTGGTGGGGGGGGGGGGGGGGGGGGGGGGGGGGGGGGGTGATTATATAATTATACAATAAGGGCTGGCCTGTTTAACCCGAGGCATTTTGCAGGCCCGTTTAAAACCAGGTTTACGAACCCAGTCTGTTTAACATGTGGGTTAAATGGGTTATGCCTTTTTAACCCGCTAAACATATGTTCTTTTTCTAAAAAATTATTGTTAACCTCTTTCTTTTTAAACTAGCTCTCTTAATGATTAAAAAAAAAACTCAGGCCCAAATGACTTCAATGATCCGAATGTCTAAATACGGTCCAAAACTCTAATAATCTATTTAAAAAAAAAAAGGGAAGATGAACAGGTTGGCAGGCTAATATGGGCCAAACGCACTCTGGCCTATTTATTATCAACCTGTTGCAGGTTGGGCTAGTGTAGATCGAGTTGGGCCCGATACCAACCTCTAAGTGAAAGTAGCCAAGTTCAGCAGAACTTGCAGACAGTGGCAAACTATGAACTTCCGAGCTATCAGCTAAGACAAGGATTAAACAGTGATATTCGCGTTAAATACTTCATCTAGAGGATTATACAAGTCACTAATGTAGAAAATGTGTCTGACTGTCTGGTCTAAAAGATTTTGAATAGCTTACCCGGAAAAAGAAACACGTTCCCCAATTTTAGCACCTTCCGGAGGGAGCAAGGGCTCCACAATGGTAGGACCTTCATTTGAAGCACATAAGACCTGGAAAGAGGAGCCAAATACACACATAACCTTTCAGACTACTTGAACATAAAGACTACAAAATAATTTAATCCGTGTAACAAGTATGAGCATGCTAAAATAAAATAAATACCAGTCCTTCAGACATCACATCTCGTAGTTTTCCAGGTTTGACATTTGTTATAAGTACCACACGACGGTTCTGTGAAGTGAAATCAAATAGCAAGACCATAAGGAATGGTTAATTACAATTCAAAAAGAACACAACCAATCATCACACTTGGTTAGGTAACTACATTACCGTCAACTCATCAGGACTGCAGTACTTTGCCAAACCACTGACAACCTGCCTCAATTTGGCCTCCCCAATATCTATCTCCTCAACTAGCAAACTGTCATTTAAGTTCATTGATATTAATATTTATCTAAACAGGTGTCAAACATATCAAACTGGGTATCAATTCTGTTGCTGTCAGTTTAACATTCTGTTCAATTATAAAAGGTTTTTCAGGTAAGTTTGCCAAAGAACCTATCTGCAGATGGATGCTTCCATGCTTTGCGAATTACTCCAACTTGAATATTAAGCAAACTGACACTAACTTCATTGTCTTGCCCAGCCACTTCTTTGTTAGCAGGTGTCTTGGCTTTAGTAGGTTCTTTGTCTACTGCTGACTTTCCCTTAATGTTATAAAAATAGATGAAATGATATGTAAAGCCAGAGGGAACCAACTACGCACTAAGATGCAATTAACAAAGGACAAAGAGTTTGTAACAAAAAGTGGCATTAGTAACACTCAATCTTCTCTAGTAACATTTATCGGATTCTATCCATATAAATATCAACCTCAAGGGAAATTCATATCATGAATGGAAGAAGTTACCATTTACCAGCATTTCCAACCTTCTACATCAAGTTTAAATCAATTTATTGCTCTTACTTTCTTACTTTGTTAGTTTTTTTTTTTATTATTATTGTTGTCAGAATTTGACTAACTTGATCAATTTTCAAATTTAGGAAATAACAAATGATTATATATTATTACATATGGACCAACATGGATGTATATATGAAATTGATCTACTGAACATGTACAACTACAACACTGAATAACCTACAATTTTTTCTCCAGATAAGGCCTTTTATCATTATCATAAATCATAACGCCTCATGCTGTTATATCTCATTATCTAGGTTGTCATCCTGAGGAGCCGTTGTGAAAAAGAAAGAGAATGTCTTACCTCAGTTTTGTTTTTATCCTTGCTTATGTCCGCTTCTGACTTGTTTACATTCTTTATGCTTTGCTCAGTCTTGTTTGATTTTGAATCAGCTTCCACAACTCCAATAGGTTTTGTTACCTGCAAAATAAAATAAAACAAGAAACTGAAAAAACTCAGCACCTCTAAAACTTCACAAATCTCCATATGCATCTCTTAGTGTGCATAATAGAACTTCTGAAGACATGTCGACAAGCGCATACACAATGTTCATTCTAAATGGCTTTCACAATTCTTAAATGATACTCTCATTCTCCTATAAAGCAAAGGCCATTAAGTTAAAGTGGAGATTGCAGATGTTCTATTCACACTGTTTCAGCTTTTTATAGCAGTAGACAGTAGCATTTGCAAACCAAAAGTCAAAGACTAAACTTCAGGGACTTAGCACCAAGTCAGATTAAATCAATATATAACAAATCTAGAACTTCATACAAGTGCTCCTCCTAGGTTTCCGTATTATAATGAACATAAGAATATTCTTTTAAAGGTTAAATTTCATTGAGTCCCCCAAAAATATGTGATTTTTCATTTTAGTCCATGAAAAAAGAAAGAAAGATTCAACTGGTCTTCCAAAATGTTTTATTTCAATTGGGACCAAAAGAACCCAAAACTAAGTCAAGTCCTAGATGGAGATTGACCGCCGCGTCAGCAAATTGTTAGACTATGCTGACACTAGCACATCAGCACCACGAAAATTCTTCATGAATAGGACCCAATTAAATTATAAGATACTTTTAAGGAATATTTTGAAGGACCTAGAGTGTAGCTTAACATATTTTTATTTTAGCAAATTGATATTTAGTACTTTAATGAATCCTAGCAATCTAAAACAACAAATGAAAAAGCAACATTAAATAATAAATACATAGCATGAAATTTAACTTATTTTAATCTTAACTGTATTTTATAAAAATGTTAACATATCAATGCCTAAAATGACTACAGTTGAATACCTTGGGACTTACCTTTGTTAAGTCTATGAAGAAAACATCAAGAATAAGAACTAATAAGGGTATGATGTCTCACCGGAGGATCAAATTCAGACTTCTCCAACAATATTTTCTCAAATAAACCTTCAAATTCATGCTTGTGCTGATGAAAGAACAACAAACAGTCAGAAAAATTAATAAATGGTTTTCCTACAAAGGTGAAAGCAAAATTCAAATAAATGTATTTTTTTAATGCAAACTTAAAATAGCTAGACAACAGCGCACCAATTCAGAGGATATAATAAATACATGTTAAATGACTTCTTGGATATTTACTTAACAGGGAGATCTACATAAAGTTTCAATTGTTAAGAAATGAGCTTAGACCTGATGTAAGAATCTCAACCAATTAGAACAGCAGCCTTCAGGTCCTAGGGACTAACCTTCCCTCAGAAACAAAGATGGAAGGGTAAAAATGCAAACACTGCAATTTGTACACTAGAGAAGGCATCACCTCAGTACAAATATGAAGTTACCCAATTATCAGTGTTGAGAAATATAGTCCCACATTGGTTGTATGGGCAACTAATGTGAGGTTTATAAGATCTTGGGCACTCCCACCCTTAGAGCTAGCTTTTGGGGTGGTGTATCCCAAGGTTCTTTACATGGTATCAGAGCTTGAAGTTCGATCCTCACCGCCCTCCACTTTAAAGTGGAAGCACAAAAAGGTAAACCAAAGATTGGGCCTGTTGCATAATCCACGCTTCAAGCCAAGAGGGCTCTTGCGTGAGGGGGCGTGTTGAGAAATATAGTCCCACATTGGTTGTATGGGCAACTAATGTGAGGTTTATAAGACCTTGGTGGTGTATCCCAAGGTTTTTACAATATGTTAATCACAGTTTTTCCCAATTTATACGAAATAACGGTATGATTCATGAACTTACTTGTGTTGACACCCCTCAACAGAATGGGGTTGCTGAAAGAAAAAATCGTCACCTTCTTGAAGTGGCTCGTGCATTAATGTTTCAGACACATGTACCCAAATACTATTGGGGAGATGCTATTCTTACTGCAGCATTCTTGATCAACCGTTTACCCACTCGGGTCCTTGACCATGTAAGTCCTATTCACTCTATAACTTCTTTTTTCCCTTCTATTCCAACTATGAGTCTTCCTCCACGAGTGTTTGGGTGTGTTGCTTTTGTTCATGTTCATAAACATCATCGCAGTAAGTTGGACCCTAGGGCTATTAAATGTGTTTTTCTTGGTTATGTTCCTGATAAGAAGGGCTACAAGTGTTATCACCCTGGTAGTAGGAAATTTTTTGTTTCTATGGATGTGACATTTCAGGAATCTGAGTCCTTTTTTCAAGGTCCTCATCTTCAGGGGGAGAATCCTTCACCTCCCTTCTTTGAGTCTTCAGTGTCTACTCATTTACCTGTGTCAGTGTATCCTCCTCTTGTTCCTGTTCCTCCTGTGTCTAATCCTCCTGTGAGTGATCCTCCTGTGTCTGATCCTCCTGTGACTGATCCTCCTGTGACTGATACATCAAGTACACCAGAGATACGGAAGATTATGACACCTGAGTTGGTATATCAAAGAAGGAAACAACCCAAATTGCCTCAGCAGCAACCTCAATCGTCTGAACCACTGGTAAGTCCTGAATCTCATATTTCTGATCATGATGTTAATACTTCTGATGACTTACTCATTGCTCTTAGAAAAGGAAAAAGATCTTGTCCCAAGAAATCTTGTTCCTCTTGTCCTTCTTGTACTCAATACCCTATCTCCCATTTTGTTTCCTCTGCTAATCTTTCTGTGCAGCACAAAAGCTTTGTTTCAGCACTAGACTCTATTGCAATCCCAAAATCAGTACATGAAGCCTTGAAAGATGGGAATTGGGCTCAAGCCATGCAAGAGAAGATGAATGCGTTGGAGAAAAATAAAACATGGGAGGTTATTGATAGACCTAATGGAAAGAAAGCAGTAGGGTGCAGATGGGTTTATGCCCTGAAATATAATTCTGATGGAACTCTTGAGAGATACAAGGCTCGATTAGTTGCCAAAGGTTACTCTCAAACCTATGACATTGATTATGAAGAAACATTTGCTCCAGTTGCAAAGATGAATACGGTGAGAGTCTTGTTATCCCTTGCTGCCCATTACAATTGGGATATAAATCAATTTGATGTGAAGAATGCTTTCCTCAATGGTGAGTTAGAAGAAGAAGTCTACATGGAAATCCCGCCTGGTTTTGATTATGTGAAGGGAGAAAATAAAGTTTGTAGATTAAAAAAGGCCTTGTATGGATTGAAGCAGTCACCTCGTGCCTGGTTTGGAAAGTTTACTAAGGTTATGATGACCTTAGGATACAGACAGAGTCAAGGAGATCACACTCTTTTTTTCAAGCACTCCCAAAATGGGAAGCTTACTGTGCTCCTTGTATATGTTGATGATATTATTATCACAGGTGATGATTTTGTGGAGAGACAGATTCTGCAAACACGGTTTGCCTCTGAGTTTGAAGTCAAAGACCTTGGGAAACTGAGATATTTCCTAGGGATAGAAGTAGCTCATTCGAGCAAAGGAATTTTTATCAGCCAGAGGAAATATGTTCTTAATCTTCTCAAAGAAGCAAGAAAGCTCGGGTGTAAACCCTCTAATACACCTATTGAGCAGAATCACAAGATAGGCTATGAAGAAGAAAGTCCTCCAGTTGATAAAGGACAATATCAACGCCTAGTTGGGAAATTGATATATCTGCTGGCTCATACTAAACCAGACCTAGTTTATGCTGTTAGTGTTGTCAGTCAGTTTATGCACGATCCAAAGGAGAAACACATGCGGGTAGTAGAGAGAATTCTTCAGTATCTTAAAGCTACTCCTGGTAAAGGATTGTTATTCTGACGTGATGGCAATCTCTCTTTAGAAGTCTACACTGATGCTGATTATGCTGGATCCGTGACTGACCGTCGATCTACCACTGGTTATTGCATGTTTCTCTGTGGTAACTTAGTGACATGGAGAAGTAAGAAACAAGATGTGGTTGCCAGATCAAGTGCAGAAGCTGAATTTCGAGCTATGGCTCAAGACATTTGTGAGTTACTGTGGCTGAAAATTGTACTTGATGATCTCAAAATAAAATGTGAGGGACCTATGAAGCTGCTATGTGACAATAAGTCCGTTATTTGTATAGCTCATAATCCGGTTCAACATGATCGGACTAAACGTATTGAGGTCGACCGCCATTTCATCAAAGAGAAACTTGATAGCGGGTTGATTACCACTCCATACATTCCCACTGGGCGTCAATTGGCTGATCTATTAACAAAAGGACTTCCTCCAGACAGATTTCAAGAACTTACTAGCAAGCTCGGAATGATAAATATCTATTCCTCAGCTTGAGGGGGAGTGTTGTAAATATTGGTTATTTTATTATTATTATTTATTGTATTGGGTCAAGCTCATTAGGTCAAGTATTAGGTCAAATATTAGGGTTTTCATTCTTTATAAATAGAGACCCCTTTGTACAGATTATATATACACAATTTAATAATATATCAGAATACCCTTTTTCAAGTATCAGATTATCTTACCTTATACCCAGCAAAACTCTAGGCACAAATGTTTAGATGGACTTAGGTTCGTACATATGGCGGCCATTGTTGAATTAAATATGTAAATTAAGATTAAACAGAATCTTTCACCTTTTACTATTAAATCCCAAGAAGGCATCATCCAGTTCTTACTATCAAGGTCCAGTAATATACTTCCTGTACTAATTGATGAGATAATTAGCTTTTGATCTTTGCCTTTTGTTGCAAAAAATGAAAAGATAAAAATAAAACAAACAGCCTTCGTCTAAACCAACTGCAACATATTTACTACAATTCACAGATTCTCTAGATGCCTAAAATTTACAGTGGAAGTAGCACCAATCACCAGAAAATATTGTGCATGACTTGGTGGCAATGTAATGTAATCTCTTACACATAAAAACCAATGAACATAAGCCCACATAAGGTGTAGCATTACCTGGATGTAATCGATCCATCTCAATACATGTGGCAGTTTTTCCTTGTCTGTATCTGAAAGGTTGATCTGGTAAAGCAACCAAAGAAATTTGTTATAACTTAATAGTTTAATGTTTGTTCAACTATAAGCGAAGCTAGGCTTTCTTGTAGTATTTTATACTTTCTTGTATCAATTGTAGCTAATCCTTTTCCTTTGTATCTGTTAATTTGTTATTTTTCTGTTTAGCTTAGCTGGCTAGTTAGTTAGTTTTGCTGACTCATAATTGAGTCAGCCTCAGCTCTATATATAGAGCTCATTCCCTCTCTTTTGTATCGATTCAGATTTCATATTCACAGAATAATAAACACGACTCTTCAGATTTCTCTCTCTCTCGATTTTCCCTCTCACTTTCTTGGTTTTTACTTCAATGGTGGAAATCTAATATCAACTCACCATTTAGATTTATTTTGTTCTGTTATTAAATTTATATCAGCACCTTCTCTTTGGAAAAAAGGAAGCTTCAGATAATATTAATCTAACAAATTGCATCCTCGACACAAATCAAAAGTCTTACAGACATTGATATATGTCAGATGCACAACCTCACAAAACAAGAAAGAGAGAGTCATTAAAGACAAAAAAAAAAAAAAAAAAACTCCTGTCTGACCAAATATTTTAGTGCAGGGGGATGATGGGAAGGCAGTTCTCTATTCTGAAAGCATACATAGTATGATGAATATGACAATGTGCATACCAGGGAAGAATGAGTCACTGAAAACACTATAACATCAGCTTCAGAGGGTTTCAATCCATTGCCCAGGAGCACAGACTTTCCAGACAGTTCATCATTTAATTTCTTGAGATCCTCAAAGCATGCTTCAAGGGCCGCTACAGGGAAAGCTTCTGCAAATGCTACCCACTTCAACACCTAAATATGATGAATATACAAGAATAATTAATAGAAAAGGTGCAAAACATACAAGTTCTGGGGAGCATTATCAATTTTGTTATGAAACATTCAATTTAGCTTCCAACGTTAGCATTTTATATTCATGCACAAGACCCATAACCAATTTCTGATGGATCAAGGGCTTCACCGCATGCACAAGTATACTAATGATATTAACGGCCTAATCAATACATGAAATGGTTATGCCAAATAAAGTGAAATCCGATTACCTCATCACAGTGATTAACCTCATGTCCAGATGCCGCTGTGATGTTTAAGTAAAGACTCTTAACATCGCTCTCTAAACTATCAGCAGGAATAACACTCTGCAAGCAAAGATAGAGAAGGAAAATTTGCATGAGATATACTTATCACATTGAAGTGGAGAACTCAGCTAATGTTTTTAATAACTATCTAGTTTTCTAGTTGGATGTTTTAATAACGAAAAAACTGTTCTAGTGTTTCAGAAATGATGTTGTGACTCAAGTTTATACTTAAGAAGTGGAAATATGGCCTCAAAGATAATATAAACCAATGATACTGCAGAGTAGCATGTACAAGCAACGCAACCCCAAACCAGTTGAGTGGCATTGATGCCATAACCATAAAATTGTTCTACCCAACGAATCAAACCCCACATCGATTTTGAAGTGATCAATGAAAATGTGTATGGCAAATTGGAAAGAAAAGAATGGGGCATAGCATTCACTTACAGGATCCAAAGAAAGGTGCTTGCAGAGAGCCAAAACCACCAATTTCTTTCTGCTATCATTGGCAGCCATTTCTGATTAGTGATAAATGATGATTTGGTGCTGCTACTATTATCCTTTCAACTTCAAACTCTCTCTCTTTACGCACTACAATCTTCCTATGTTACACTTTGCAGGGTTTAGGTTTATGTTCCTGTCTGATTTCTCTGTCATGTTGTTCTCAGCTTTGGTTTGGTGTGAAAAACGGTGTCGTATTAAAATCGTATAGGTTTCAGTAGTGGGCCTGCTTAGTTTGGTTAGTGGACCCAATAACTAATTGCATGGGCCGAAGAAGACTCGTTACATATCCCTTCAACAAACAGCACAAAAAACCAAAAAAAAAAAAACTGACACAATATATGTGCGCCTGTACCAATAAAATTACCTACCTGTTAATGCGTAAAAGTAGGAGTATTCATCAACCGATTCAAACTGATTAAAATCGTGGTGACCGAATCGAAAAATCGATAACCGAATAAATTGAAAATCGAAAAATCGAAAAACCGAAAAAAATCGTAAATTTTAATTGGATTGGATCGATTTTTGAATTGGTTAATGAAAACCGATCAAATTCAAACCGATCAAATGAATTAATTCTCCTTTACCTACTTGGGTCTTTCTCCAATCATAGCTCAAAAATTTCTAAACCCAAGACCCATTAACTCATCAACTAAATCCAAGAAAAAACCTAGTCACATCTCAATCTGTGTAGAACTTCATTTCTCATTGCCAAAAAAAATAATTATATTATCGTTTAATGATGCTTTTGTATTTCAAAAAAAAATTACAAAGCCAATATATACAAAAGATGTTATTTGCACAATAATCATGAAATAAATTTTAGGATTTTCAAAAAACAGAAAACCGATCCAATCTAAACCGGAAAAAAAATGGATTGGATTGGATCGAATTTGAAAAAAAATCCAAACCGAATGGATGATTACATAATCAAACCGAAGGAATTGGATCAGATGATTTTTTCTTCTAAAATCGATCAAATCTAGATCACGAACACCCCTACCTAAAAGTTTAGATTATGTTAAATAACTGATCTGTTTAACTAAGCATACATACACATATATGGATTAATATTTTATCTTCTATATACATAAAAATATGTAGAATCCAAGTGAAAATATATGAGAAGAAGAAAAAAAAAATGAAACATGAGCTCAGTGGCGGAGCCACGTTGGTGCCAGCAGGTGCCTTGACACTAGCTAATTTACTCACGTTTCTTTAGCTACGTTTAAAACGTAGCAAATCATGTTTCAAGTTTTTTGTAAACTAGTCACGTTTTGGTCGTAGCTATATAACCGTTGCACCAGCTGAATTTTTTGGCACTGGCTTAAATGTCTTGCTGGCTCCGCCACTGCATGAGCTCCACATATTTTTATATGTATGTAGGAGATAAAATAAAACATCATTCCTATATATATCATGGTATCCCGTAGACTCTATAACTATGAAATGAAAATCATATATTCAAGTTAGCCAACCAGCTCAACTCTTCATATAAAATGGGAATAAACTTTCCAAAATTCATAACAAGTATTGCTAACATGTAACAAAGATGTCAAAATGTACCATGTCCATGTAAGTCGTTCACAATGAGTTAAAGGCTAAGTTAGTTAAAACATTTAAAAAATTATTTAACTCAACTACTAGACCTATCAAAATTATTGAATTAAACAGATCGATTCGAAAAAATAGATAAAACTAATTAAAATAAACTAAAATTATAAAAATGATCATGAAATATAAGTTGTAAAATGTACAAAACCATTTAATAGTAAGATATGTCATAATTCATCACTCATAAACACTAACCTTGCTGACAATTCGTAAATCCAAATTCAACAACACTAAATAACAAGAACGAACAACAATAAAATCAAAGCTTTAAAATTAGACTTATGGGCCAATTGACCCAGCCCCACTTAGGCTTTTCTACGAGCCCGTAGCATTGAGCAACTTCTGCTTGAGCAACTAGTAGTTAGAAGATAACCGATTAAATATTTTAAACTATATTTACTTATATCAAATTAAAAAAAATGTTTATTGCCATAAAATGGCGAGAAACAATATGGTGATTAATGGAAAATAGGTTTAGTCATGGTCGTGGATGAGAAAGATGTAAATTTATTATTACATCTTTTTTTTTTAATAATTCCTGACATGATTTTTAATATAAATTACTTTTTTTTTTAGAGATAGATTATAGTTACCATTACTTTTTTTGTTGTACTAATTTAGTTATTGTTGAATTAAAATCAAATTAATGACTCTCACTTGATGTTATTTTATAATTGTTATTTTGATTTTAATTTAACGATAATAAGATTAGTGGTAAAAAAATGGTAATTATAATCTCATTTATTTTATTATTATTTGTATGGAATTTTTTAGAGAACGAATCAACAGTAATTCAAATATGGCACACATAAATAAATAAATAATTATAAGCGGGTGCTTTTTTTTTTTTTCCCTTAAAGGGACCACACATATATCATACGTATAATAAACAAACACGTAGATTTGTCGCCACCTATATGGAAGTACAGTAGTAACTATCAACCTCAATGGCTGATTATTGTGATTAACATTTGATATCTTCAATTCCGTTTTGCTTATGTTATTTTCAACCTTACAAGTTTATCTTTTTCTTTTTTAACATCATAAGTTAAAACACTTAGTAAGAGAGGGAAAAAAACCATGAAAAAAAAATCAAACATTTAACATCACATTATACTTACATCATAAAGAATTAATCAAAAGCGAGTGCCAATTGACATGCCGTTTCCACTGTCCATATTTTTTAATAAAAAAGTAAAACGATATAAAAAATAAAAATAAAAATGACCTATATAAGCATCTAGAGCTGTTCATGAAAGAAAGAAATTGTGCTCCTAAGTAAAGCAAAAGGCAAACTATCGAAATAACCAAACAGTGAAAAGTAAAACGGTCGTTCTTTTGATAATGATAGATATATTAGGAGCTAAGATTGACGAGAAATTGCATTGCTGTAAAGCCTGCAAGTGCAAGGATTGACCAATACACTAAAAACGCAAAAGCTGTGAGATTCTCTTGCACTTTGATTTTGGAAGTCGCAAAAATGCTTTTCTATTTAAAGGGCCCAAACGGCACAATGTTTTTGGCGTTTACTGCTTGGCCCTTTCATGATCATCTTTCTTGCATTGACATTCTTCGAATTTCGTCTCCCTCCACCTTTATTACCCTTTCACATTAGACATTAACTACTTTGTTCCTCCAATTAATTATTCCAACCAACCAAACTCTTTTCATTCAATTGTTACTTATAAGTTGGTTTGGTTTGGTTACTTGTTATTATCAATTAAAATTAATGCGGTCTTACACATGTTTAACTCTGTACTTGAACATCAATTTTAGTTCTAAATTGTTTTATTTACCGATCTAGTTGTGATTGCCTAGTATAATATAACAGCATCCAACACACTTACAAAAATATAGGCGTGCAATATGAAATTAAAGAGCACATGATGGGAACCTGCACACCCATGGCAGCAGCAATTGAACAAAAATAGATGAAAATATGGAATTCATTTGAGTGTCTTATTCTGTTGGTTGCAGAATAAGATCCAGTGGGATTGAGATAACAACAGTGCCACAAAATAGTGGCAGAGCGAGCATGTAAATACAAAGAAAAGGGTGTTACTGCTGCCTCTAATTTCTAAATGGAACTCACGGGTTTCTTCTCATGGTCTCTTGTCCCTTCACATCCAAAAGACTGCCCTGCCTATAAGGTTCTGCACAGTCAAAACCAAATTTAGGTTGGACCCATCAAACAATGTGTTTAGACTCCGCTTGAATATTAGATTAAATTCATAAAAGTTTCATAAGCCAAACCTATGTATCTCTAATCAGAGGATTTTCTTAAACAAATTAAAGTCTAAGAAAATCAGACTTCTCATAATCATATTTAAATGTGGTGTTGTCAAACCAAATATAAAAATAGGGTTTTTGTTTACAAATTTTTACAAACTACATTAAGTATGACCGGTCATACTTCAATCAAAAGTGTATGACCGGTCATACTTAGTGTAATTTGTAAAAAAATATTGTAAATGGATCCTTCCCCGTAAAAATATATTGGATGACTTTTTTTTTCTGTTTGATTGGGCAATTTTACTGACATAGTTGTAAGATTAATCACTCAAAAGTTGAAAATGGTGATTAAATTAAATCCTTTTTAGACTTACAATTTTAATATTAAGATCTCTAACATTATAATAAAATTCACTTAATGTACCAAAAAAAAAAAAAATCACTTATAGAGTCACAATCCACTGCGATCAATTATTATTAGCTAAGAATTATATTGGATGAATTTCATACCTATATAAATTGAAGTCGTAAATGTTTACAAAACTGTTTTTTCACCCAATTTTTTTCTTTTCTTTTCTTGCGAAACTGCCTTTATTATAGAGGTTGGTTTTTTTTTTTTTTGGTGAAAGAGGTTGGTTTTAAAGAACTAGTAATGTTACATTGTTACTGCCACTATTTTGTGAGTAGTGTCAAAATATGTTGATGCTTGGGCCAATCCGCAAATCTCTATATTTAGTCATAATTTATTAGATTTTTTCGTGGTAAGAAATTTTTTTAGCCCTAATCTCCCCCCAAAACCCGATAATTTAACGGGCTGGATTAAGACTTATTCACGGGTCAAGTTTTTCTTTCAACAAAAAAATTATTATTCAAAATATATAAATTTAAATATTTATAAGGGTTTCATATTTCTATTTTTGTTCTAGAATAAATTTCTTTGTCATACTCACACAAAAGTGAGTGAGTTCCATTCTAAAAAAAAAAAAAGAGAAAAGATTAGTGTGATATACTTACTTTTATGTGAGTGTGGCAGAAAAAAAAAAATTCTGCAGCAAAAGCAAAAATATTTTCCCCTATTAATAAATATAAAACAAATTAAAACATACTATATACATGGTGTACCTTGGTAGTTTTGGGGATAATAATAAGTAAAAAGGTTTTTATAACGCGTTAGTTTGGAGAAAATAAATAGTTTAACTTTCAAATATATAGCATGTAACATCCCTTGCTACAAACGTTTATAAGGAATATTACATGATTTCTTTTATTTACATTTATATTTACGTTTCCACATAGTC